GGAACGCTCTTTCAAAGCAGATCTAATCGAGCTGGAACGACCGTGAATATCTCAAAATAATTAGTTCCACGGGGAATGAAACTTTATACGAGGTCTTGTCATGCTGCTCGCCTCACCGTTGGTGGATGTGATGATAGCCTTGATGGCACGCGGAAGGTCTAGCTCATTTTCCCTCCTCTTTTTGGGCTTCATGGAATGCATGCAGAATATCAACAAAAGCGAGAACATGGAAATTTGAGCTATCATCCCGAGGCTAAAATTTCCTCTCCATAAGCTACTGGAGAAAGATGGCCCGCAATGGTCCACACTTGTATACAGGACTATTCAGCCTTGCAGAATATCACAAAGTTGACTTCATATGGGGAGAAAGCTAGTCTGTGCTCTACTGGCGGTCATGTACCTACCTTCTCGATCTTCTCGCGATGTTTCTTATCGAGTCGATCCTCAGCATCCTTGAAGTTTTCGTGTTCGTTAGCGGGATCCTTGTTCTTGAAATAAGGATCCTGACCCTCGGACGATTTTTCATCGGACGACTCTGTAAAGACACTTTCCCTTTGAGAAACTTTCGAGGATTCCGCAAAATGGTAGCTATTATGGTTATGCTCACCCTCATCACTGTCATCATACTCCTCATCATAGTCATCATCATCATCCTGGTCTTTCGGCAACTTGTTCGCTTTTTCAATTGTTCGAGCACCAACGACTGGAGTTGTGATTTTGTCTAAAACCCTATTAATATTCTCATATAATTTTGTAATGAATTCCTTATTCCAAACCCTATCTTGGTTACTTCTTTATCTAATAGGAGCGCGTATTTACAAAACCTTACGGGGAATGGCGAAAAGCAGAGGAGACCTCTTAAAATATTTCTGTTTCCCGGGATAGAATTTCTTTCAGAGCCCTTTTCGCCCCCCCCCCTCCTCCTCCTCCGCTCTATTATCTACAACTTGCACTGCTGCATCGCTAGAAACCTTTAGAAGAAAGCGTGCACGAATGCGATGTTTGTCGACTGGCTCATGCACTTCCTTTCCAGCCAGAACACACCGTAATTACACGCATTCGCCATTAACGATGCCATTCAACCACCACATTACGCCTATGCAAGGTTTCCATGTGACTCAAGAGATTCGGAGGCCTACTTTGTGAGGCGTACAAGTGCCACACAAAGGGATCAGTTCGGGTGTTGTGGCAAAAAAATCGTCCGATCCGCCTTATGCTTGAAACGTTTTACCGCCCTACCCCCCCCCCTCTCCCCCTCCTACCTCTTCTCGCTATATGTATACACTTCCAGAAGTTCCCTAAAAAGCCGTTGACCGAAGATGAGTACGTATACGACGTATACAAAACCAGAAATAAAACGCTAGAAAGGCCCTAGAGAATACCTGAAGAAATCCCTTGGAATCCCTAGTGTGTTGTACTATCCATCCAGAAACAATCTCTTCAACATGGGTCCCTAGGGCAACCCTTGAGCCGAGGATATTTGGCAGCCAGTACAATTTCACTCCCTTAGAGCCAATGGTTCATCCTATCATCCTCCCCCCACGGCCCAATATGAGCCACGTCAAGGACTCTTCAACGGATCCAGACTTTAGTGATACGATCTCATTCTTGGTGGATTGCAGACAATTACGCACCAACTGATGGACAGCACACGAATTCAACACCAGTGAAAAGATCGAGACTACATGGCTCGAGTACAGCGAACGAGCGAACAGTCATTGGTTTTCCATTGAACGTCTGAAATGTAAATACCGTAGTCGATTGTGAGTCATAGAACAGCAAGAAGGAAATCATACCTTTATTGAGCACTGTTTCGTGGCTTCGTCACGCCAATGCTGGTAATCGTTGCAGGACTCACCAGAGTTCACATGAGAAAAACGGCAATCGTGCGGCACTTGCAGTGCTTCCGACTTGAACTCACCATCTGTAACAGTGCTTGTAAGGCTAAACATGGATAAATTATATATCACTGGGCCATGAGAAGGTCACTATCGTGAAGGATCGTCACGCTCAGCAGTGGGCCAGCTGAGAATGATGAGTTACCAAGGCTCCAAGCGGTACAAAACCACCCCAGTGTGGGCCATGCACTAAACTCACACTGTATAGTTAGAAAAATGCGCGATTACTCCAATACATGTACAACGACGCTTGGAGAGCCAGTGTTCACGTCAGCACTCTGTATAATTCCACGAGCCCCAATTAGCCGATTACGGAAAGATTGAGGTCTAAGAAGGCTCAGTGAAATTTGGTCTACGCATTGCAGGTGACCAGAGTTGCGTACCATTTCACTGTCCCATCCCTACTAAAGACGGTGATCGGCCCTAACTTGAATATTTCTGACAGTGCGGTGCAGACCGAGCAACTCGTCCACAGCGAAAAAAGTAGCTTAAAAATGCAAGCACGAATCTGCTGCCAATAGACTGTTCAAACGGAGGTGACTGCATAACCCAACGACCAGCTTTCCTCACTATTGCTCTCTTCGCAGTAACTTATGGTCTATGAAACGAAGCATGAGCGATAACTAACCCGTAAAGAGCATAACAATCAACAATTACTCACAGTCAATGAGGTCTGTTCCTAAAATACTGGCGATGGAATGGCAAGCATAGTGAAGATGAACACAATACGGTCTTCGGTCATGTTAAAGACATCTATCTCCACAGTCATTCTTTGTACATATTTTGCAAGCACTTTTATTTCCAGCAACTCCAAGACTTACAGCCCTCTCGAAAGAAAAGTCTATAACGGGACCCAGTCTATTATTGAGGGCTTACCTTGTGTAAGCTGTTATCGCATGTGTGTAAAAGCTATTGGAGTGGAACATCATCCTCATCGAGGCCTCGCTTTCTTTGCAGCGGCGATGGGGTGCTGTCAAAAACACTCGTAGGTTCACCCAACCCTGCGCTATCGCAATACCATAATCCCTTCAGACGCTAGGAGTCACACGAGAGAAATAAATCGATCTCACGAAACTCATCGTCACTAGAGCGATGCGAGGTATAATGAGGAGGTGTGCCTCAGCTCACGTGGAAAATACGGTACTAAACGTGTTGCACTTTCGTCGGCATACCAGGTATAGATGGTAATTAAAAGCACAAGGTCAGGAAACTACAGTTAGCATTCCTAAACGTGAACTACCAATGCCAACTTCCTTAATATCGTTAGACAGCGTGCTCACTGCGCACAGAATAGCTACTATAAAGAGCAACGTAAGGACTTGTCATCGTTATAAACGTCTATAAAATGATGAAAGCAAAGCGGCATTCTTTCTACGCTTTAAACACAACAGGCAAAAAGAGTTGAGCAGTACTATGCGGTATCCCTGTTGACGCGTACACACCAGTCATGGACCTTTTGGCACAGCACACCTACCGATGGCGATTGTGGATACACCCACCAATGATCAACGCCGCCGGAGCCTTTGAGTAAAACACCAAACCCACTTGACTCTGAACTACGAAAGGATAAAAGATCCACCAGTTGGTGTTAACCAATCATTTACTGGGATGCGCCATGCATTTCATTCCATTCAGAATCGTGGTAGAGTTGTGAATGCGATGTGGCCTTGTGGGGCCAGCCAACGTCAAGTCAGTTTCTATCTTTCCATAAATGTCTGGTACTGCTCAACCGCTATCGAGGGGTATGGAAGGTTTGGTTGGCGGCGTACGATTTGTTTTCATGAGCAACGTTTGGTAGCTGCACCACTTGACACTATATGTACTACTTTCGCCCTTAAACTAGAGCCTAAGTAGCAGCTTCCCTATCACCAATTTACCTCAAAGCTTTATCTAAATTTGCTGCTTTGGACTTCTAAAAAAGTTCGAACCCTTTCAGCAACGCAAAAAAATGAGAAGATGAATTCGAATCCAGCACTTTTCAGTAGACGGACCTATGAAGGGAAAAGAAACTTCATCACCATCGCTCATGAGTGATGAATCACTGCTACCATAATATCCTACCCCGATCCTAGGTCTGAGTGATACGTAAATGGTAGCCTCCGCCAACAGACGCTTTATTGTTGAACGTAATTCTTATTTCTGTATGACTCGGTCCTGATTCCGGTCTCGCGCTTTCCACCGCAAACATCTGAATCACAGCGCTGTGAGAAAAACCGTGCATTTCCCCCGTTCGATCAAACTATTAAAGACGGGAAGTAGAAGGTGAAAAACGAAAATTTCATTGGAACAGAAGCTTGGAAAACTACGTGGAATTCGACGTACCAATACACTGATACGGTCGGACAGTGTGTGTCCATTTGCATGGCGTTCCTTCTTCACGACACCATTTCTCGATGGCCACCTCGTGTGAATATTCGACAATATTCGTAATATTGAGTTTTGGATACGCCTGAAATTCGCAACTTATTCATATTCTGTACTTTCCGCACGCAGCCGTCCACGTTTAGCACTTAATAAAGCATTTCTCGCATAAAGTTGTCCTAACAAATGTGAGATGGCCTTAATGTAGAACATGTTTAGCGGAAGTTCTCTTCAGCTGTAAAAGACTTGAGGGCTATAAGCGAAACCTACTACAGCCATGCTCAAGTTCAATACTATAAATTAGGCAGATGTGTTCGAGATATCGACGTAAGCCCGAAGGTTCGAACCGCATACGCACCGGTTCAGTATGGCGGATGAAGGGGTCATATTGCTTGACACCTTTTAAGGTCAGGCTTAGCAATTTTTATGGTGTTGCCGTGATAATTTATGAGCTTGTTGAATGAGTTTTGTAAGTTGCAAAAGTGTCGATGGGCACTTCCAGAACTGCCTCTTGTCTTTTCCAGCCTATGAAGGGGTAACGGCGCCAAAGTCGCAACCAAAAAAGCGTTTTGTTAATGTTGTCTGCGAGCTCACTTGTTCAACTTCTATTGGAGCAGCACTCATGAAAGGATCGCACTTCACCGAACGGTGACTTTTTGATTAGATTGATGATTCGATCATCATCAGGATCTTAGTCGAGGATGCGCAGACAAATGAGTTCAAAAATAAAAGTATAAAGACATTGAAATAAATTTTGATTTTTGTGATCGCGAATCAATTTCTGAGAAATCATATACGAGGCTCTTTGACGACAATGAACGTATGCTTAGACAAATTTTTTGGCAACCGAGGTTCACCGCGAGAAGTACGTATGAACACTATTCTGAATTCGCATTGCATCGCTAAACAAGTACCTATCTCCCCTGCCGATACTCTTAGAAAAGGCGTAAGGCTAGTGTCAGAGTCCGCGATCTGTCTCATCGCGGACGGCTCACAGAAATCACAAGTGCCCGATCAATACTGCAAGGTGCTCTCCAATCCCGCCGCCATTTCTGCTTGATGGTGATGGTTGAATGACGACTGTTCATGATTCTACTTGTTTCATATTCAGTGTTTCAAATGTTCAAATGGGGCACTTGCAATTTTTGCGATTCGCGCGAATCGCGCGATGGATCGCGGACTCTGGCAGCAACCAGCCTACCACCGGAAAGGTTGCGCAGCTGTCTATGACTCTTCCCGCGGTGATCTGTTTACTTACTACTGGATGAATTCTGATTTTTGAATATGAACTAGCTTAGTTAACCAGCAAAGAGGTGTTAGGGTTAAGTGCTTTCATATAAAGTTCTACGGTGCAACTTTCCCCGAACTTAATTACGTATATTCAGATATTCTATATACGTTCAATGGGATTTGCCTTTCATTAGTGATGGCTAAAAGCAAAATCGGCGATTCTGCGCACGTGATTTGTCGGGCGATTCCACAGCGATTAAGTGCCCACAGAATTACCGCAGCCACGGTAAACATGACGGCGACGACCGGGTGTTCGTTTTACAATTAGGGCAACCTCTGCTCACTACCAAGCATTAGAGAGGAGATCTTCGCATTTTTTCGGTAATTACATGGGCCACAAACCAGCAAACTGCATCGTGAGGGCAAGGGTCACTTGATAGCGCCAAATACCGTTGCTGCCTTACGCCGCAGGCAATCGACATTTCAAATACTTTTACTTCATCACTTCTCCGTCAGTTTAAATGAACTGGAGGCTAGTTTGATGTGTATGTGTATATGCTATGCATGTGGTGGAGAATGTGAAGTGCCTCGTTCCGAATAGCGATAACTCCCAACGGGGCAAGTATGAAGGCAGCAGAGAGCAAACGATGTCCTGAACTCAAACCGCGACGCGGTCGTCGTCAACACCGCTTGGTATCTGATTTTTAAGAAAGATAAAATGAATAACTTCAGCACACTTGTTCTATTACAGCGAAAATCTTTGTTGAAACTGGATATCTGAGAGGAACTGAAACCTCCTTTAGTATTCCCACTAATTTTCTACCTTAGTGCATAACTAATTCTGTGAGAATTACTTCCAAAATTTCAACTTTCAAAGATCCGAGTTGTACTATTAGAAAGCGAAAAAGTCAGTAGATATTGAAAAGTAGCTCTTGCAAAACCTCATGATCCATCAACAAAAGCATCAATCCCCTCCACATCCAGGAAGATGACTTACAGGGTCATAAGGTTGCGCGACGCGCGTTCAATTCATCAAAACTCTGAAAACCGCCCATGAAACCGCATGACCCGCCGGTCCATTTACTTAAAGTCGTAACTCGCGGACAATATTGGGAATCGGCTGTTGGACTTGAGGAACAAGTGGACAGCTCCCCAGAGAATTAACCGCGTCGTTCGCATGTGCTCCCTGCAAGGCTAGCGAGCTATATGCATTCCTCCCTTTCTCGCTTTCAGATTCAAGCAACTGCATTAGCTTCTCCAAGGCAAGTTGTGGTGTCGATGTTTATACCAACTCACTGGCTTCCGCTTAGTCAAGCTGAATGGATTTCAGAGCGAGGAAAAACACTTTGACGTAATTACAATGATCGGATGATATGATAAGTAAGATAAGTAACTGTGGAGCTCATAAGAGGATGTTAAGTCAAACGGACATAATAAGCGGAGCGTGGATTGAATTTTGACTCTGAGTACACTTTTTGTGCAGGAAGACACTCCTTCAGAAAGAACGAGCTAAATCGTGCAGTTGTGCAATTCGTGCAAAACAATCAATAGCGCTTTCCAGCTCACCTTCTTACAGTACTTGAGAATGTCCAGCTTTCCACTGAGACATGTAGCGTATCGGTTCTCGTCACTCATCCACACACCGTCCTCATTCATATATTTGTTGCGATAACCGCATTCAAATGCAACTAGTGGCACGAATTTCTCGTGCTTTTTCGCTGACGTTCCATCGATGTTCGCCGCAACACCCTGAAATCAGCTGATTAGCTGCGATGATCTCGGTTACCCAACAGCTGTTCTTATTTCACACTGTAGAAAAGGAACAGAAGGTTAGATTTATGCCTCTTCCTGTTTATAAGTCTACCTTCACACGGAATCGCCCTTAACAAGGCTTGATCTGATCTAACCGAAAAATATGGATTACTTGACCTATTTGCCCACTTGGATGATCACGAGCGCTCTATAAAAATGAAGTTCCGAGGTGACTGCTAGGACTAAGCGTAGCGATTTGTAGCGAAGTTGGACAGAAGCGCTTACTAGCCCCTTGATTATTCGATATTTGTGCGGAAAAAAAGCAGGCGAAACACAAGGGCACGGCAAATCATCGGAGAAGTACACGAAGTGCCGGAACTGCAGTCGCCCATATTTTAAGAACCCTTATTCAATCACGGCATCAAGCAGTGAAATTTTGGCACGCTTAAGTGCGCTACCTGGAGCGTTTCATTGTAGCGCGCGTACACGACGCTCACAAACGGAGCGCAGTACAAAAACTTAGACGTGGTGCCAATGCAATCGAATTCAGATGTCAACGCGAGCAAACATTATGCTAGCGCTGCTGCAATCTGCGCGCGTGTATTGACGAGAAATTGCGGACTTTATGAAGTTTGCCGAAGGCCGCAATCGCTAGCCAATGTCTCATTAAAGCCATTCCCACCTCGTATAATAAAATTCAAGCGTGTGACGTTTGCAAGCAGGCTAGACAAATTGTGCGTAACTCTTTCCATCCTCCCCCCCCCCCAAACCCCTTTCGTTCACTTATTTGACATGAGCGTTGGACAGAAGTTTCTATAGTTAGAGAAATGAGAATCACTAAACTCACATTAATAAACGTTGTTGTCGTTAACGGTATTAACAAGCTGGCGACCAGCAGGTTACCCACCGTCATGGCTAAAAACAGGAACGTTACTAATCTTACAAATTCGAATAACACAATTACGGGCGGAATGAAAGCATTCGGGGCAAGCAGAAAGACCAAATAAGCACTTTATTCAATGAAGAAAAGTGGGAGGATTTCCCGAAGCCGCGAGGCAGCTCCCAGAGGAACACAACGGCGCGAAGAACGCCCTAAACTCAGTCAATTCTCGTAAGTGAGAAACAGCGGGTATGGTCATCACAAGTGGCATGATAAGTGTTAGGGCGATGTATGCACGCACTGAGAGGAGAGTGTGCGGAAAGATGTGGGGCGGGAGGAGCGGATTGACTGAGTGAGACTGAGGTGCCTCAGCCTCAGCCGTTAGGCTCCCCTCGCTGCCTGTTACCGTAACAACAGCCCACGTAGGCTCTCCACTAGCGATTAGTGTAGCACGTCAGAAGTAGGATGATCACAGCGTGCTTTCACCTCACAATACACCTGGTGATCGCCTTTGAACCTATTTTTTCGGGAACATCAAAAAACTGAGTACAATGCTCATTCTCAAGTGATGAGAATACATCAGACTTGAATCACATGAATGATCAATCGCAGAAAAAGAAGAAGTAATCGGCCATAGTACTGGAGAATAATCTCAGATTATGAACTAAGGAACACAAAACCGGTGGGATGAATCTTGAGGATTTTATCCGACTTAAGCATGTGGTCGGCAAGCTCTGCGGATCACATTAATGATCGTGTTCGTAACATACGAGGACAACTGTTTGTGCAATAAAAATCCGCCCAAACGTCACAGATCGCGTTCAAACGAATCCGAGGCAAAGAGGCACAGACTGGGACTCGAAATGACAGCGATGACAGCGATGACAACGACGGCGACGACGACGCTGCCGTTGTCGAGTACTGGCCGGTGTTCGGCAATTTTTCTCAACAGACAAAGTTCCAGTGCGCCTCATTCTGCCACCGTATAATAGAAAGTGACAAGTGTTGGCAACTTCCATCCTACAGTTACCTGAGCAACTTTCCCAAACATCCTTATAGAAACGAGTTTAGAAAACCAAAATGTTACAGTCTGCCTGGAGCATTGATAGCATCGATCAGTTGAGGGAAGAATTTGAGTTATTAAAAATAAAAAGAAGCGTAACTGGTAGCGCACTTGCCCGGAAAGCGAGAGGTGCGGGTTCTAGTCCCGCCTGGGGCGAAAGTTTTGTTCACAACCCAGCATTCTTGTGAAAATAGAGAATTTCAGAAACTAGTTTGAATTCAGAAAATTTTATCAGAGCAAAGTAATTTTAAGATATGTAGAGCCGTGAGCAAGATGTTAATGATTTATTCAGCTGAAGTTTCGGCCTTGTCGCCTTCAACAGGGCCTGGAAACATAGAAATAGGAGCGATTCATCCCATCCCCTCCTCGTTCCCAAACATCATTGTTAACTTCAGAGAGGTTTGTTACCCCGTGCACGATCAGCTGCTGGCTGACGGTCGATCGGAGGAAGATCCGAGCAGACGAAAGAAACTTGTCGATAACTCCAGAGCATGCATGAGAAGAATAATGTGCACGACTAGTACTCGCTGAAAAACAAAGCTCGAATCGAATTCGCACACTCGACTCTCCTGGCGCCGCACCACGTCTTTTGACGCTGGCACGCCTCACTGGAGAACGACGACAATGCGAAGGAACGTTCCAGATGAGAAAACTCTAGGGCGTACATTTAGAATAACGTTCGAATCAAGCCACTGGCTGGACTCTTATGAACACTAGGTGAAGCTAGAGAGCAACGAGTGAGTGAGCAAATAGCAAAGGCTGGAATCTTAGAAAGCAGCTGTGTGAGAGAATCCCCTCGGAAAACATTTTTGAGAATGTGCTTGTCAAGAAGGAAAATAGCCGAAATCTGGTAAAAATTATTGCCTTCCATCAAAGCGATCATTTTTCAAACGATCTATCATCAGCCCCTTTTTCGGGTGACAAAAAAGCAAACATTGTCTCTGCACATGCATCTGCTGTGCAGCTGACAAATCGAAAGGGAAGCGACGACTGGAGAAAGGAAACAATAGCCGAAAATTGTCCCTCAGAATATAACAATGTGTATAATTACGTGAAATTACTCAGCTGTACGAGATAGTAGACAGCCATTCCCATATAATAAGCTGAAGAAGTGAATATACAACAAAAGTTAGTTGCAGAACGGCAAATGAGCCAGATTGACCAGTAGTCCACCGAGAAAAAGGTGACAGTAAGTGTCGAAATGTGGCAGGTGCTGTAGAAATCAATCACGTTATCAACGGTTAACTAACCAGACCGGTTGCGACGAGACAGTGATGGCGCGCGGTGGCCACGGCGCCAATGCCGCCGCTACCGCAGCTGCGCAGTGCTGAGATGCTGCTAAAACGGCTGCACACCCTACGATGCGAGCCTTTTTGAGTTCATACAGAGTATCGTGTCGAATTGCTTTCTGGCGCTAAAGCCATTGCGTTTGAGATCCTATCGCGGCTAAGTATTTCTCGGCAGCAGCGAGTGCAACCCTACGTGCCTCAGGGGAGATTCGCTGGAACTCGTAGTGAAACGCTCCAACTCGCGCTACTCTGCCAAACTAGACTATCTGTCGTCAGGGAATTCACGAGCGCCACGCAATTGCACCATAAGGCCAATGAATTCGAATTTGACGGCTGAGTCATCGCCATTATCATCATCCTCAGCGACGCCCGTTCTGTGAAACTGTATACACGTAATGCGACTTTGTACGATTTCCGAAACAAACTATGTATACACAGTGCTTCGAACACTTCGAAAGCGTCAATCATAAAAAATAAAAAACAGAAATAGTAGTTACATTGTACTCACTGGAGGAAGCACTTCCTCAAAACACACAAGAAATTCAGCTGTCAAATAAGCCTTTGGATTGCAGTAAAGAGAAAATAAAACTGCCTTATAGCGGAATACGTAAGAAAACCAAGTAAGGACAGACTTGACCAGAAACTGTTGCGAAATGGAGTGCGTGTTTTATTTCCCTCCACTGCTACAGTATGGTTCTGGAAAGGAATCTGCAGCGGCCCCAACCTCGTTGTAATTGTCGTTTTTCCTACCACTCCAAACTAGATACACAGCAACCACGCAAGTCTAAAGTCTTTGGCAATAAACAGATTTTTCGAAAGCTCCAAGCCATAAAGTACCAGCTCAGCCTCGTTACCATGTCCACGCTTAGGACTCAAGCACGATTACCCTCACATTCCTTGTGTTTTCACATCCATCAGCTAACTGAACATGGGAAGCCACTTGCAAGATGATTCCTGACTGGAGTACAACTCTATTCGGCCAAACCGAGCCTCGCTAGACGATCTTGACGGGCAACCCGACAACAGGGTCTGAAGCAGGGCAAAACGCGAGGTTATAAAGTTTGCCCGGGATTGGCGCCAGACGGTTAAGAGTAGGGTTGTCGAAGGATATTTGATAAGCGACAAGAGAGAACAGCCAAATGTGAGACAAGTCTAAGGAAGAAGCACTAGTGCAATGTAGTGACTAATTAAATCGGGACCGCAAAATATATTTGCCCCCTCCTTGTATTGATAGGCTATGATTGGACTGCTCAAAGATAGCACGCTTTGATAGTCAATGGGATGACCCATTACCCCAAAGATTCATTCCAGTTCGAAAATAATCCACCGGTGTGAGGTGGGACTACGCTAACTAGCCAAGGGACGCTTTACGGTCTTGTATGTCACGCCTCAGCCGCTAGCAACATTGAATCACAGTGAAATATCTCTAATCGCTGGAAGAAAGGTTGATCCCATCGAATCAGGGAAGACTACCTTCACCGATTATTACACTGAGTATCACCTGATGCCCAAAAAACAACTTGAGATGACGACGATAACAAGTCGAGATCATCAGAAGGTTTAGTTATCTATGGCGACAAGTAACCAATGAGTTGTTGTGACAACAAACTGTTAAGAACAAGAATGATCGAGGTCATGTATGAACACAAGGTGAAACGAACGACACGAGCTCATGATAAACACTTCTCGGCGAATTCATCAATAAACAAAACCAATTATGAATCAGATGAGATGTGAGAACGTCAAGCTCAGCTTGACTGGTAGAGGGGAGGGGGAGGTCGACGGTCTAAATGAACCTTCTGACTAAGCTGATGATGTGAAAAAAAAACTGTTTCATATGATTCCAAACATGACAATAGAGTTTCCAGACTTTCCCTCTCGTCATGACTCATGCCTTACGCTTCTCTGATTCACTGCCATCCCACATCAGAATTTCGATAGCAATTACTACCACTGAAGAATAAGATGCACATATAGAGATGGAATAATTTTCAGATAGTGAAAATGGCGTAGTGCAATTCGTAAAGGTGTGAAAAACAACGAGCAGACGAAGGCCGTGTGAATCTGGTTCGGCCCCTCTAGATAATTGCAGTCCGCGGCGTGTGCAGCCCCGGGCACACCCTAATTCGTACCCGCAGGTATCACAACAGGGGAAGTGTTGGATATGTAAAGTACTGGCAAAGAACCTCACAGGACTTCCATGAAGGCTTTCAGTGACGTATTCACTTCCATGGATGAAGTCCATGAGAATATATAAAAAGGGATTCAGAAAAAACCCTCACCAACTTTTGGGGGACTCAAGCTGGGACTTAAGGTTACAGATTGATGTTCAGGCAGGTTCGCTTGAAGGAGATTCAGTAAAGAATACACAATCAATATGTCAGTGAGCTTTCTAGGATATTAAGGCAAGCAAGTTTATCGCCCAAGCAATTTAAGATAAGGTAACGCGCCTTATTCACACGCACACATATTTTTGTCAGAGATGGAGGAAGACTAGTTTTAACACGTTGGAGACCGCGCATGTTTTACGTTTCTCGGCCGCCTGGGACTTCAGTGGATTTTTAAGTCTTATTGAGCAAATTGAGAACAAAAACCTATTCAGTGATCTAGACGAAATCTTATTGCATGAAATGGGAAGAAGAAACAAAAGAAAAACTGAGTGCTTGTTTCCAAAATATGGG